TTGTTTTATATTAGAAGTATACAGAAGAGGAGAAGTTTTATAGGCATTGTAAAGAAGTACGGAGGGCCTCATTTTTAGGGAATTCAATTCTCCATAAAAACTTGAATGCACCAAAAATTTTCAATTCGTTTTTTATAAAACGTCAATCAAAAACTCGGGAATCAATGATTCATTAAAAGGAGACTCTTTAAAACTCACTTACAAACACTGGTTTTTCCATGAAAATTACATGAACTTGTTCATCTTTTGAGGCGTTTTTCGAAACACTGGTTGATGTTGAGAATATTTGCACTTTTCATTTTGAAATTCCATTAGCCATTGGCAATAATAAACACTAAATTCAAAAGCTATGAATTGACAGTAGAATAAGAATTTTTTTATAATACAGACCATAAAATTCTGTGTCGAAAAGTATATGTTTCAACTGTTTCCAGTAAAATCGCTTGGACGGAAAATGCAAAATACTATAAATGTCTTTAAACTATGACCAGCAGTTTATATTTGCTATAACAACTATCAGTTTTATTTTTATCAAAATAACAATAATCATCATTGTTAACATATCTATTAGCAAATCGCTATCAACTTTTTCTTCATTAGAGAGTATTTACATTTTCAAGTGAACGTGCAAACATCGTTTCTACGCAGTGGACTATTATATGGATCATAGATTCTTTATCGTTATTCAATATACATTGTTCTTCCTGCTATCCGGTAATGATTGCAAAGATAATGACAATACTTTCTTCAAAATCAATCATTCATATAAATTAACTTATATTCGAGACGCACAAGTAAGAATGTTGTCTTGAAGCATAAATAAACTTCACTGTTTTTTTCTTCCTTAGTGTTCTCACAAACTACAGAGGTTCAATAAATCATCGAGAACTAGACAGAATTTATGGGAATTGAAGCGTACTACCAGAGATGTAGGGAACTCCTAGGGATTAGAGTGAATCAGTAGAAATTTTCTCAAGATCTTCTGTAGATCCAGCTTCAGAATAAAATCACACACACAGTATGATATCTGGTGAGGGTAGCACAAAAGAATGTAGAGTTCCGAAGATATGCGATTCATGAAAAGAGTTTGTGAAAATTGCCAGTAATATTTTGTGAACTATAATTAGTCTACAAATCTGTATTACTTCCAGGTACTCCAGAAATCACTACTAATTGACTCAAGTGCTAGGTACTTGATTTCAAGTCTCCGATTATCATCCAAATCCTTGATACTCTACTAAATCGCTGACAATCTTAATTTCGAAATATATATGATAATTGATGTTTTTTGAGTAATCTGATAACTCATTTTCGCTGTGGACTCACTTGAAACGAAAAGATGAAGCAGAAACACGACTAACTCTAGTGACTTGAATACGCTACTTGATATGAAAATATTTTGAACATTCGAGGAAAGGAACGTTTATAGATATTCATCTTGTCTAAGGCTTAATGTGAAATATTTCACTTTTCAATGTCATTGTACCAAAAACTGTGTTATAAACATTTATTTACCAAAAGTAGTTGATAATATAATATTATTTCTCGTGGAACTCACATATATGTTCGAAGAAAATAGTGATTATAAGTATTGAGTTACAGATACTCAACAAATAAATCATATAGAAACTAAAGATTTTTCGAAGTTATTTTTGCATTATTGTCAATATAAAATGACTTCGACACGTAACACTTTATAAAATATATTTAGGTAATTTATCCTTCTCTTGTCGATGTCAATTCGTATGCGCTCGCAACTGTTCCACTTGATACTATCTATATTGCTAATAGTTCTCTGCCGAACGCTGTGAGTAATATACAAACAACAATATTGCGCCAGGAAAAAATGAATAATTTATTTTTACAAGGGCCTAGGAGCTTTTGCTGCTCGTTCTATCGCACGTCTGAGTTATTTTGGTCCTTACGGTGGTTTTAAACACAACAATTACATCATTGCAAATGCAAATGGCTATGCTTGGACAGTAAGAATCGAAATAGTTTGATACCCCATCTTTCATGTTTGCATAGATTGACGATAAGTTGCACAGCATGATGTATTGTATCGATGCATCTGAGCCCAACAACTCTAATTGGCTTCGATTTATTAATTGTCCAAACACTTTAAGTCAACGAAATCTTGTTCCACTCGAGTGTAAGATGGAGTCCGTACAGAGTTTTCGATGAAACGATTTATATAATGTTGTTTGTGTAGATTATGGTAATATCTTCTACCTAGCTATTCGAGATATCGATGCCAGAGAGGAACTTCTAGTCTACTATGGAGATAGTTACGCCAGAAGGCTTGGTATTGATACGACGCAGTTCGATTAAGTTCTATTAAAGACTTTGTCACATTCGAACAACATCATGAAGAACTTATACTTACAAGAACAAGAAAGACTAGAATTCTGAACTAAGGTTTTGCTTGAAAAATAAAAGTGTTATTTTCTAAGAGTGGGTGGGAGTGTAGGAGTATGAGTGTGTGAAGAAAAGAACAATACCCGTGCGCAAAACGAAGAACATTCATACTCACATCCACGCCTACAATCATGCCCGTAGGCGGTAGACTTTTGGTAAACTCGATCGTTACAGTTGAATCTCGTTGATTGAACCTTGGACAAGAAACAAATGGACTCATACACTCCAAATCACATTAAAAACTCTCTTTAGCTTTGGCTGTAATTCATGAAAAAACAGGCTTCTGCCATCGCATTTGTTATGCTCTTAGTATTTATTTGTGTTTTTTACTATCGAATATTTGAAATAATTCATTCACATAATTGCCTTTCTTTAGTATGCAAAGGAAGATTCCTATTGACTCAGACGATGATTAGAAAAATCTGTAACATAAGTATAATAAATAAACAATATTAATTAGTTTTCAATGATCTCTACTTTACTTGTATATTCAGCTTTTTTACTCTCATTATTCATTAAAAACAATTGATCGAATATATTCAATAGTTTAATAGATTATTGCAGTTAATTAAAAATACCTTGTTTTGAATGAGTGAATGAAAATATAACTCTTACTTAGCATATGTCAAACTATCGCATAAGAATTATTTTTCAGAGTATTCAAATTCCATGAAACAAACAGTTGTATAGTTAATAGAAAAAATGCGACATCATTGCTTTCTCTGAGATACAGTTCGGAAATTTAGCAATGAAACGAAAAAAGAAATATTGGAAATTTCGTTTTCATATTTCAAATACATCTCATTACATATGCAAGCAACCGAGTAATTATCATGCAATTTCTCAGTATTAATTTGATTTTTTTAAGTCTCAGAATGTCTAATTGTTAAAAGTAAATCGTTTTTTTTTATTTTCGGCATTTCAAACATACATTTTCTCCCGGACATGCTATCTGATTGTTAATCATACATTATTTGTCATTCTTGTATCTCGTTGTTCTCAAGCTCTTGTTGTTAATGATACAAACATCACGACCGATTCATTAACATTAATGTTGTTTATTTTCCAAAGTTATAAAATCAGTGAATTTTGTTCGAGAAACTTATTCATATCGTTTTATGTAAGGAATCACAAGAAAAAGGCGTACTTTTTTTTTTAATTAGTTCATGACCAATGAAGAGAATACATCATGATACTTTCACCAACGAAGGTAAAATTGATTAACATGATTTAGAAATACATTTTAGAAAGTGAGAATATAAAATATTACTATAGGTTTTTCTCAAAAAATAAATTCTAGAGTATATATTCTTAGAAAATATTTTAATTTTAGTGTCTTACTCTCATGACATTTAATATAGAATCTTTTGCATGAAAGTCAATTGACATATTAGTCAAGCATTCTTATCTCTTTCTATTAGTGATCCTGTTTTCAATATTCATCAATAAGTATCAACATACATGACGATTGGAACATCTAATAATACAAATTTATTAAAAAGAGACAAGAGAAAGGTCATTGCCATGCGTATATCCAAAGTTGTCACTAGTCGAGTGATGACTCATATCGAATGAGAAATTGAGTAACACTACATAAGTCTTGCACATGTGTCGAAGAGAAAAGAAAAACAAGCATCGTCATTTTCAAGTACGTAGTTATATTTTAAATCACGTTGACAATAAAAATGGCGGGTTTTGCTAAAGTAAGATGCTGAAGTATCACAATTCAAGCTCACAGATATGCTCTGACAATTTTTCAGATTAGGATTTATTTTTTGAAAAATTAAGGGTTTATGAGAAAAGATTTCCAGATGATTATAAAATATTGATTCATGTTGATATTGAGGTTTGATTGAGATATTAACTTTGAATCGATTTTCCTACTATGGACTCTTCTCTTTGATTAAGTCTTATTATCGAATTACGGTCTGAAAGTCTTGTTTAGATAATGATCTCACTGGGACTAGTTTATGGATAAAATTTGAAAACTGCATATTTCAGAGGTACTTGATCGAAAACTTCTGAAATTTTGTGTATAAGGTAAGCTCGCTGAGATCTTCATCTAAGTAAAGGTTTCAAGTCAAAACTCAGTAATCTATGTTTATCAAAAAATGGACTCATACAGAAAATTTACTAAAAAGTGAATATCTCGGTTAAATCTTAGCATCAGCAGAACTTCTTTGAAGTCTGTTCTAATCTATGGTTTCCCTACTATTTGGCAGAGTATAACCTAAAAAGCTTTCAGTAGTATAGAATCTACCTTCATCAGAATGTTCGTAATTCATATTTGAAACTGCGTCCTGTTAAAGTGTATTTTGAAATAGAACAAAAATAAGAAATTTCTTAAATGTTTTCATTGTTCTGCCACACGAGACGTGTATGCAAATTTATTTCATGTCAACATCTTATAATTTTTTCCATATACTGACTACTTTCTCTTGTGTTACGGACAGTGAAGAGTATTTTCTTTTCAGATCACATGATGAATAATTTATTTAATAGCATTAAAACAATGCTTGGCTTTAGCTCTGTAGAACCAAAAGTCACGGAGTCTAATGCACCAAATGTTACTTGGCAACATATATGGCCTTTTAGTGAAACACGAGATGCTCTCTCTGGTTCATCATTTGTTGCCATTCCTAATGAAATTCTATTACGTATATTTCGGTTTCTATCCGTGAGAGATCTATGTAATGTTTCATTAGTTTGTCGATCATTCAAAATGATTGCTGATCAAGATGAAATATGGAAGCCAAAATGCAATAGTAAGCACTTTTCCTTTTTTTTAATATTCTAGTTAAAGGTTAAAACTATTGATTAGCATCAACAAAATTATATTCCAAATCATTTAAACAAATTTATATGGATTGGATGCATGGAAAATGTTTACATAATAAACGTCTACGACGCATAACATTATCTTTCAGAACTTCATGTGCTCTCATTCCACCTCCTGTATTTCCTACCCGATCGACAGGAAAATATAATTTTGAATCTATTAGTGGATTCACTCAGCATCCAAATTCATCATCAACCATGTAAGATAATCTTCTTTTTGTGAAACACGATCTGAAAGGAGTGTTGAAGTGTATAGGGTAGAAATTTTGGACCCACCCCCCCCCTCCCCCCACAGACCGTGACAGAGAAAATCCATACCCATCACAGACCGTGACAGAGAACCCGGGTACCCATCACAGACCGTGACAGAGAACCCTGGGTACCCATCACAGACCGTGACAGAGAATCCGGGTACCCATCACAGACCGTGACAGAGAACCCGGGTGCCCATCACAGACCGTGACAGAGAACCCGGGTACGCATCACAGACCGTGACAGAGAACCCAGATACGCATCACAGACCGTGACAGAGAACCCTGGGTACCCATCACAGACCGTGACAGAGAGTCCGGGTATCCATCACAGACCGTGACAGAGAATCCTGGGTACCCATCACAGACCGTGACAGAGAACTCTGGGTACCCATTGCAGACCGTGACACAGAACCCTGGGTACCCATCACAGACCGTGAGAGAGAATCCGGGTACCCATCACAGACCGTGACAGAGAACCCGAGTACCCATCACAGACCGTGACACAGAAATTGTAGTTATAAAGCATCAGATATAAGGTGAGCTACAAATGTGTCGTAAGGAAATGCAACAAAAGGATTTCCATTTTATTAGTAACAATAGGTCCATCGTGTTTCACATTTTTAATCCCGCAAGGGATTGCGCTAACAGCTTTTTTTTGATACAAGTATTTTATTTCATAACCTAGTCGACGAATTTTATATATTAATATTTTTAATATATGAAATATGTTCTTTATTGCTTTATATTTTTGAAACAATCATAGAGCATGCAATTGGTTGTCAATGTACGAGATAGATAAGAAAACAATAGGTAACACATTAGTGAACTTAGCTTTATTGATCTAATTTTTTTTGTCCAGACACGATTTAAAAAAGTATGTTGAGGTGTATGGGATACAAATTTGTACATGCATACTCCACATAGACCTGATTAAAAATTTCTCATGCGATTAG